GTTTTGAGTGTTTATCTTAAAACTCAAGTTTCTTGGTTTTTTGCTTTTGGTGTAAATCAAACACATTTGTGACGTCATTTAAATATGTTGGATTTTAAATATATTAGATTTTAAATTGTCATACAATTTTTTTCATCGATAGTCTGTAATTGGAACCATAACTCTTATTTATTCAAATTGTATTAATATGTAAAGACCAAGTGTAACCTATATCATCGTTTAATCTTATCTTATAAAACCAGTGAAACTTCAAAATCGTTAAAATTCATGGCTCCCATCGCATTGCACGAATACACAACTAGTTGGTAAAAAAACATGGATTCATGTATGTATCTTCACATGTGAAGAATCGATAAAAACGTGAATTCATGTATGCATCTTTAAATTGATTTTTTCCCGGGTTTACCGATGATTCATATTGTCATGTTCTCAACCTTTTTGTCTTTTTAATCTGAAAGCTTCCGAACAATATACCGATGATATCAGATCAGAAACCACTTTACAAAGAAAACCAAAATGTCAACAGGAAGGATGTTAGAAAATCGACATCTATTTCCTCAAAACAATTCCTAACAAAACCAGAAAACAAGAAAGAAAGAAAGAATTCAAGATCGAAAGCATCGTCACTCTGATTCAAGATTTGAATTTGGCGGATTACCGGAAACAGGAGGAGGTTGCTCTTCTAGATCTTCATCTTTCAAACCCAGATTATCTTGAACCACGACTGGACCGCCACAAACCGCCACTTGATCTTCTTGGACGGGTTCAACCATCGAGCTGGCTGAGCCAGATGGTTTAACCTCAGTTCCATCGCTGGTCTCAGATGCTATATTCACATCTGGTCCACTGCCGCCCGGATTCACCTGCTGCACCGCCAGTCCAACATTTGGATTAGCATGGCTCGAGCCAAGGTTAGCCCGTGGGGCGTTTGCTGCCATACTAGAATATCGATCACGGAAATAGTCCGAACCCATATGGGTTGCAGGCGACGGCCTAGTGTTTCCGCTGGTCGTTGTTTTAATGTGGATGGCACTCTTCAGCTGTGCCTTCAATATGGCTGCAGCTGCCGATTGGGTCGCAATGCGAGCACCAGCCGCAACCGCAGCTGCTTTGACTGCGTCTGGGCCTGACGTTAGCGGCTTTGCCGATGGTCTAGTTGGAAATGGTTGACTTCTAGGAATCGCTCTTTTAGAATCCGGTTGGGATTGGTTTTGCGGGAGTGCGCCAGCAGATGAAGGTTCGGCCACAGTAGGTTGCACAGAAAGATTGCTGCCTGTTCCAATTACAACTAAAGTTAGGAGTTCGCATGTCGATTCAAGTTTCGAACAAAAATGCCAACAAAAAGGGACAAAAATCCAGCTCTTGAACCAATCCGGTCTAGAAACAGTTGGAACCAATTAAAACCAAAACCAGATTGATTCTAACCAAACCAAGCGAATCCGGTATATCCCAACCGGAGGTGGGGTCTGGGGAAGATAAGATGTACGTAGAGCTGACCTCTACCCCAAAGAGTAGAGTGGTTGTTTCCGTGAAGACTCCCGCTTGTGAAAAGTGTGACAGAGAGTGAAAGTTAAAATCAGACTGATTATATATTTTCTTAATTTTCCACAAGATGAAATATTCAGTAAGCATGTATGCAGTATAACCATCATGCTTAAAGAGGCATATGAAAAGTGGAAATCAAATGCACATATAACCATCATGCTTAAATATTCAGCAATTTCTCATTAGGTTGAAGACATGCTTAAAGCGCTGAAAAGTGGAAATCAAATGAGGATCCAAATGACATCTTTCAGTCTGGTTTGTGGTTCTAATTCTTTCCAATTTTACGGTTCTAAGCAAAATCCCATTATGGAAGGAAGATTTGTACCAAGGGAGGAAGCCGCCTTTGAATTATCCGCTCCAGGCTTGTCAAGGGCCAGGTTAAGTGCCCGTCGAGCTGCAAGTTGTACCTCCGAAAGTTGTGAGCCCATTTTGATGATTGAGTTGCTTTTCCGTTTCTTAATAATGTTCCACCTCTGCAAATATGATTTATCTCATGAATATCAATAGAAAAGGTATTTCCAAAACTAAAAACCAAACAAACCCAGTATGTCTCACCCAAAGGTGGGGTGCGGGGGTAAGATCAAGTATGTCTCACCCATAGAGTAGAGAGGTTGTTTCGATGAAGAGCCCCGGTTTATGAAAAGTGTGTGAAAGAGAGAAACATATGAAAAATCAAAAAAACACAATATTAAGATGTATGTTTAGGACATGTACAAGTGATCAGGTAATGGGATATTCGCTGCCGGGATTTGAACCCGCGAAACCTGGGGAGACCCAGACATCATAACCAAACCGGATAACAATGGATGTTTTAACATCCTCTCTATCTCATGAAAATTGCAACATTTTTCATTTCAGGATGTTTCAATTTTCATGACAAATGGAGTTAGGAGGGGGTAGTCTAAAATAACACTTTAGGCTGTCAAGCTATCTTCTTGCAGTTAATCTTCTGAGTGAGGATCAAATGGATGCCTAAGCAATAAGTAGTTCGTTTTAATAAATATATCATAATTACTTATAGATTACTAAACAAATGATGAGTAAAATCTTTTCATAATTCCATTGATAATGATTACAAGAAAAGGATTGGAAAGATTACCACCAACTTGATGGAAGTCGAATGATCCTGCTTAATTTATGATACGGTTGTTTGCTAATCAAACCATAGACACAATGGAGGATAAATAAAAAAAAGATAAATAACCTGCGATAGCTGTGAAGCAGTTCTATCACCCTTAAAATCTCCTTTTAAGATGTTCGCCCAATTCCCTTCACCGCATCTCTGCACAGCAGCAAACAGTTCTTTGTCCTCATCTGCAGACCATGGTTTTCTTTTCCTCCGAGGAGGCAAGTTGCTGTTTGCATATCCATTTGTATCCAACCCTTCAGCAGAAGAAACTGTTGGGAGTGTCTGCTTTGGAACCGAAACTGGAATTGTTATATTGATCCCATACGATGAACTACCAAGCTGTGGATTTTCTAATTTGTTATTAGGTATATTTATGGTCAATGGAGCCTCGATGGTCAACCCTTTTTCCAGACATGAGTCACTAGATGAACCAGAATCAATGAGCACCTGAAAAAACCAAGCATTTCAAAGGCCGGCCCGAAAAGGGGGACTAAAAAGATTTCACAAATTTTAACAAATTCATTGGCTAATTTATAAATTTATCCGTAACACCCTCTTTGCATAGCAACCCAAAAATATCTGGTTTCTGTTGTCTAGACATTCCTCCTGATTTAACCGTACCGTCTGTACCCTTCCAGTTTAATCATTGCAAGAAAAGTTCCAATTTTGTATGCAAATAACAGATCTTTCAGTCAGGTCTTATATATTGATGTGATAAATGTTCATGAATTAGTGCTTCTTCCCATGAAAATTGCAAATTTTTTCTTTTTGAGATGCCCCATGAAAATGGCAATCATTCTTTTATTAGAAAGACCACAAGTTAAAATATATATTTGCGTTTTATCATCTTCACAAATGAGTTGATGGAGTTGGCTTTGGTCTACAAGATATTTAGATATTTAAGAAAGGTTAGAACAATTTACTTCCATGTGCCAAGTCAAATGTTACAGCTATCATGGGTAAAATGGAAATGCAATATGTTTGTAACAACATTCTGGAAATATAGAAGTGAGATATATATATATATATATATATATATATAGAGAGAGAGAGAGAGAGAGACGAAGGATCGTGCTAGAATAGGAGTCAAGGTGAAAAGTGTAAGAAGGGATTTGGACCCTTGATCACTTTTAATCGCAAACCAACCCATCAATCGTGCTTTAGAAGGGAATTAATCCGGTGCTTCTCATTAGTGTAGATCTAGTGGAACTCTTCAATTGGGATTGATCCAAGGGTGGAGATCCCTTCTTACCGTTCTCAAATTACTCTCCTTCTCACCGGAACCCAACCCTATATACTGTGTGTAAAATATGTGTATATATATTTCTGTCACTTACTGACAAAATTCAATTCTGTAATCTGTTTACCTTCACGCAGGCAGCAGCCTCAGCTGAAGCCTCATTGCTAACAGTTGGGAAAGCTTCAAGTTCATATTCTAGATCACTATCATCATCCTGCCAATTAGTATTTAATAAATTATAACGTTTGTAATAACAAGATTCAATAAATTTGTGAGTTTTCATCCAGCTATCAGCAATAACATCAGATAGCTATTCATCCAGCTTTCAGAAAATTAAGATAAACTCAAGTTTCAAGACATGTTTGTCACCCAGATGAACAAATTGTAGATAAAAAGGTTACACACAATTAATAGAGTTGCAAGCAAAGATTCATGTGCATACATTTCAAACTTGATCAATAGCAACAATACATAAATCACACACTTTTTTTAACCATTGTATTTGGCTTTTTATAGAAAGTAGCAGTTTGGAAAAATGAGATTTTGGACAAATTATGTAAATATAAATGCTGAATATTCTTGTAGTGGATATTGTTTTTGCAATTCCACAAGAACAATGGTCTGTTTGCAACTCCGATGGTTCAGGAACTTAATAACTCTTTGATTATGTATAGAAATACATATAAGAGACTAACCATAGGCTGAGCATCATCTTCCAACTCGTCAATTAATGGATCACAATAAGCTAGATGGCGCCACAACATTTGGTATTCCCTAGGGTTTGTTATGCCAGTCTTGGTCTGCTTCACCAATGCATTCCAATCAATTTTCACATCCTGAACATCCTGAAAGCGGTATACTTCCCCAAGCAAATCTAGCACAGTTGAGGCCTTGTATCTACAATTTCAACAAGAACCAAATAAAAGTGAATATTTCAGGTGTATTTGACCTGTAAGCTAGTTTATGGCACTGCACTTATCCAAAAAGCCCCTTGTATTCCATCATCTAAATTAATTAAAACACTGTAGAATACCAACTCAGCAACTAGGTTATCAGCCAAACACAGCCTTATTCAATTAAATGAACTCTTTAAGATGATGAAGAGATATATATTCACTAAAACTTTGTGGGTATGTGCACCAAGCCTCCTTGGCGTTGCAACCTTGGAGGCTTGGACTTGGTTGATTCAAAAAGCCTCCCGATGCACCAATCTTTGCTCATGTATTCGGCAAACAGGATGCTACAGTGATTCAAATATTCTTTACAACCCAAATAAGGGAAAATTCAATAAAAATGAACAATTATTTACAATAATATTATGATAAAATCAATGAAACTTGAATAAGTACATGCGTTCACACAAAAAATAAAATTGCAACACAGTGAAGAATGAAGATAAGAAATAAAATTGATTTAACAGCAGCAGCCTTGCCAAATTTATCTCGGTATCTATGTGTACTCTCAAGATCACGATGTCAACTCAATTATGAAATTCTACGATCAGCCATCTTTGGAATGAAATAATGTACAGGTTTCTGTGTGTTTCTAAACACAAAACAAAAAACCAAAACCAAAATCGAAGAACTATTACTCTTTCTTATAGACTAAATAGAGAAAATATTAGAAAAAATTGTGAGGGAATGCGAACAAATTGTGATCAAGGAGGAAAACCTTTGCAGAACAAGGGCGACGTCATCTTCACTGATGGAGCCTCCCCTTTTTTGCGTTGTGGATTTGTCGGCCATTGATGATGAATCAATATTCTGAGATTGAGACTGCATAATTTGTAGAAATGAAAGGAAAAAGCATAAACCCTATTGCGGAGATAAACCCTACAAATTGGGGGGTTTTTGTTTGTTGGGGAAGATTGTGAGTGATGTGAAAGGGGAATACAAGTGATTGAATTCTGATTAAGGAATCAACTTGAAATCATTGATTTCATTTGGTCATGTAATTACTTTTTCCTTTTATACATTTCAAACTCAAAAGAAAAGCAAAATAGAATAAGACTAAATAAAGAGAATAATTTTGTAAGTCTTATTAATCATAAGTTTTTTTTTATATAGATGAGTTAAAAGTAGATAACTACGAGATATTTCAGTTCTAATTTAACTATAATATATCCATCTTTATCTCTATCGTCATATCATTTATACAATGACATATTTATCCTACAACACTCCCTCTTGTGCCGAATCAAATGAGTAATGGTGCACAACTGTTGTCTCGTTACTCTACGCCAAAGTAAAACTAAGTGGAAAAAATAAAAATAGGACAATTTGCAATACATAGACTTTTCCTATAGTCGAATATTCTCTCAGATTCGTACATTAATCATGAGAGTTAGGAAAACATGATGGTATATAAACTGTTCCATCACTAAAACCTTACACCAAATAACAAAACCCAATGGGAAAAATAAAACATTGGGTGAAGGAAAGAATACTACATATCAATATTACGTATATAGTACACTCTCCCTTTTGTCTACTACTTCTCCTGATTCGTGCATTAATCAATGAAGTTTGTAAAGTTTATGCATTCTGATACTTTCTACATGTTTCCCGTATTTTGTTTTATGTAATGATTTGGTAAGCAAATATGTTACATTCTCCTTGCATCTTATTTGATTTACTTGAATCTTTGATACATGACGCATCATTTCATAAATGTAGGTAGGGTATTGAATGAACTCAAAACAGTAGCTCCTCCAATATGTGTAATGATAGCCCTTAACCATGTACACTATTAAGCAGTCTCATGTAGAGTAATATTCTTGCAATAGTTCGAAGAAGTAGCTACAAGGGTTTGGTTAGTTTATTTTCAAGCAATCAACATGTTCCTTATGATGATTCCTTATACAGTTTAGGAACAACCTTTGTATGAATCAAATCGATACTTCATATCAGCAAATACATATCAAGACATTGTTTGGTGTTTTTCTACAAGGGCTAGTATTTTTGTCGTTCACTATCTAAGTAGGTATTGAAGTTCCATTATCAATCTCATTTTTCTCTCTGTAGAGAAAGTAAAATCTCACGTCAATGGTTCCAAAAGATTAGTTTGATGTCATTCCAATGACATTGCGTTGGCCCTTGGCCAAATCTAGCTAATAAGTTCATTGAGAGACACAATAATGGTCAAGTGTACTGTGCTAAGTACAATAATGCGCCTATTGTACTTAGATAGGGAATTTCAGCTCCAAACATCTATTTGTCATCATCCTTTAGACAAAATAGACCTTCTTATTATCCAACACTTTAACCGATCATGGGAGTGCTAGCCGGATGCGCTTTGTCAATATTAAATCGCCTGATCTTTTCTGGACATATGAAGATTGGTGGATTATAATTTCACAAGCTTGGTGTCTAAGCTCCAATAGCTAGACATAACCAAGTTTTCCCAAGATCTTTCATCTCAAATTTAGATTTCAAGTAGATTATGGTTTCTCTTATTTCATCAAGAGTGTCTATTATGTTCATAACATCGACATATAGAGCTATGATTGAAATCATGGAACTCGTTTTCTTTATAAATATGCATGGGTACAGTTCATCGTTCTTATATCCCTTCTCAGTCAAGTATTCACTTAGGCGAGTGTCCCATATCCCTTCTAGGTTGATTTAATCTATAAAGCGAGCATTTCAACTTTGTTCAAAATGTACTCTGTCAGGTTTAGAGTTACTTGATTTGAGTAGTGTATTACCATTAATCACTTATATATATATATATATATATATATCTTAATTTAGATCCCCATAGATATATGTAGTAATCTACATACATGAGCTGCATTTCCTGTCCTTCAGAAAACTACTAGGGTAATAAATTAGCAGAACGCTATAATGTTCATCACGGGAGAGTAAGTCTTTTCATGGTTAATCTAGGTTGTTGTGAGAAACATTTTGTCAAAGGAGAGCCTTATACATTATGACTTAATTATTCTCATTAAGCTTTCTAGCAGATTATTTATCTATGTCCTACAGGATTTACACTTGGTGGGTTAGCACTACCTGACCAAATACCCTGTCATTTGTCAATTAATATAATTCTCCTAGATTACTTCTTTTCATTTAGGCCAATTTGCTCTTTGTTGACAATTTTCAACTGAGCACAGTTCAATGTCATCATGCTCTATCATCTCATGAGCAACAATATATGTGAATATATCATCAATTGAGTATGCATGATCTGTCGATCGACTCATATGCACTCTTATAATTTATTTGAGATTTTTTTTTATCTTTGGAATCACTATTAACTTCGAAGCATCCTCCAGTAATGATTCATAGCCATAGTTTTAATAAGAGATAATCTAATGAGATATTTATGTATTGATGATAAATGGTTGTGCCTTACTCTTCTCTTTCTTTAAATGAGTATCTATCGAACCAAGTAGTTCCCCTATTTCCTTTTGGGAGCCACATCCTCAACCACATCTCCACCATGTGTGATTGCAACACACTTTCCAGCAGTGTTGTGCCCTTGTTTGGAGACTTTTAACCTTGTGAGCATATTTTCAGCTGCTATATGTGATCTTGTCACTTCTGGAATAACATTAAACGTATCAGGTATCTAGTTTGATCCGTTTGACTTCAACTTAAACTTTATATTGTAAAGTTTGTGGATCAAAATGAGACAAAGTGAAAATATTATTATGACACTTCATGTCGTTCTTATGTAAAATCATTTTCCCTATCCCCCCCTAACGATGGGAAGACTGTCTCATCAAAGTGAGAACCCGCAAATCTAGCGGTAAACAGATCAACCATCAAGGGTTCTAATTAGCGGATAATTGTTGGAGATTCATATCCAACTTATATATGATCGTCTTTAAGGACCCATTTTGGTACGATGTGGGAGTGCAATTGGCCCATATACTACACAACCAAACATACGTAAATGTAAAATATCAGACTTTTATCCATTTACCAACTGGTACACATGAAGTTGGCTGGCTAGTAATGGGCCTGAAAACGAATAAATAAGGTTGCGTGTAATATTTGCATAACCCAGGCAGAAGTAGGTAAATTGGTGTGCATAACCAATGTCTTGGCTACCATCTATATCCTTTTGAGGGTAACTTCTGCAAGACCATTCTGTATATGCGCATACTGTATGGGATGTTCTATATCGATCCTAATAAACATGAAATAATCATCAAATGTTTGTGATGTAAATTTTCAGCATTATCAAGTTGTATATACTTAATAGGATAATCGGGGTGGTGAGCCCTCAAGCGTATAACTTGTACTAGAAGTTCTGTGGATGGAGCGTTTCATATGGACAATAGTGCGACATGCATCCATGGTGTCGATGAGTCAACCAGAACCATAAAATACTTGAATGACCCACATTTTGGATGCATAAGTCCTCAAATATCACCTTCGTTGTAAGAATAGAATGTCCTGAGCTTTAGGATAGCCTCATTCCTATCTGGCTAAGGATCAGGGTTTACAAAAGTTTTAGGTATACGAGATGTCATATTATGATGGTGAAGTTGCTTCTTGTGCTGCAAAAGTCAACACTGCAATTGCCTCATTTTGCATTTTACTCGAAATATGTGTCTACGTGTATTTTACAGTGCACAAATCATTATATCATGACCATGATGTCCCACATGGTCATATTGAAACATATGTGTGTCATTGTCCCGAAATTCTTTATTGGTGAGAAAATATGATTCAATAATCCAAATAATTTACTATTTTGACACATTAATTTCTCTAATATATGTTTCTTTCATATCATTAAAGTTAATGACCATGATATATTGATATACGATTGCAATCATGCGAACATCATGAACCACCGGCCGCAAGGATTTGCAATCATACCAACATTGCGGCCAGGGTTATCGATCAATTTTTTTATATTTTTGAACTTTGGTCAAAGAAAGTCAACGCACATAGCCAAGACACCAAAAAACAACCAAAAATTGCATTCTATAGACTATATGTATATATGTTATATGTGCTCTTGAATCTATATCACATTCTCTAGAATTAGAAATCATATTTCTATACTTGTTGTATGTAACCACACTCACATAATGGAACCAATTGCTACTAACAAAGGATTTGACAAAATTGGCTTTGATTCAACCCCATCTTCTTCTCGTATGTACGCTTTCTTTCTAATAGTAGTAAGTGTCGTTCTTGTAGCTAGCAGCGTCCTTGCAGAGCATTGAACGCACTTCAACTATGGATCTTGGCGGTTCAACGTCCTTTTCTTGAAGCGTGTTCCCAAGCAATTGTTGCAGCTGTGACGCGAATGTATCATCCAAAATCTGCACATTTATGATACCATACAAGTAAATAGATAAAGACTTGGAAGACAGTTGCTTGCTTGCTAAGCAATCAACGAAGCATATATATGCTACTTCGTGGTTGTGGGTCCCACCTATTCACGTAACGATGTGGGACCCACGAAAAGTTACAGTGACATCAGCCATCATAGTACAAAAGTTCAATTAACATACTAACAATTAGTCAAATCTTGCATATATACCCTCTCTCTTTCGCACACTTTTCACAAGTCGGGGGTTTTTACAGAAACAACCCCTCTACTCTTTGGGTGAAGGTCGGATCTTTTAACGGTTCGTTTTACTAGCAAGATGTAAAGCAAAATTTGCATATTTCAGGGGACGGAAAGAAATGCCACTTACAGAAACCGCAACTCTTGAACCTTTGTACCATGAACGGTTCTCTTTCCTGTTCTCAAGAAAACTCGAAACATCCTGAAGCAAACACAAAGCACATTAGTACCAAAAAAAAAGATTGTATTTTTCTTTATTTTCAAGGCAGTATATATATAAAACGCACTTGTCCCATCCGGTCCCAGTATCCTCTACACGTAGCAATGAAAACATGGGTCTCGAAGATGGTGTGGAGATGATTCATTGTATTCGTAAGCTGCTCTGTTAATGGTTGCATTCTGCTTCGAATCTCAGATTCAGCCACACATTCCTTCGAATCTTGTAGAATTTTCTTGAGTTTAGTCCCATTCTGTAATCTTGTCTGCACCAGATACAGAAATCCAAGAAAATCAATTAAAAATGAATGGAAAAAAATGAAGCAAGTAATGGAAGTGCGCTCACATTGTCCAAAAGCTTCTCAACGACTGCTTGAAGATAATTTCGGAATTTGGATCTAAGCATCACGGTGATTTCACTTAACCGTTCGCCAGGTGCTGTGTTTCCTTCGTCAGGAATGCAACATGAACCCCATGACTTCAATTGGAGTTCGATCTTTGGGCGTAAAACATCTAGCATTCTCTTCATTGAGTTCAAGAGAATGCCAAGCTGAATTTACAACCGAAAATTAAATTTTAGAATAAATTAATATAGTTATGTCATCTCGAGATCAAACGGATTGATTTTAAACCAAACCCATTATATCCCACCTGGAGGTGGGGTCTGGTGAGGGTAAGATGTACGTAGACCTGACCTCTATGTTGTTGAAAACGTGAAAAAGATTATATATTTACAAACGCACAAACCTCGGGAGGCACCACATAAGGATTTGTGGTTCGTTTGGCGAGCTTTTGAACGTACTTCAATCCAAACTTCTTTGGTGTCATATTCTCTTTTAATGGTGCCACCACGTCTGCATATTGTTTGTCTAGGGCTTCAATTACTGCCTTTTCAATGTCAGCAATCGCCTATTCATCAAAGACCAAAGTACCCAAAAATCTAAGTTAGAAGACATGGCCCTTAAACACAACGACATCAAAATCACATTTTCTCGACTTCATCAAGATGCTATTTTGTTTCCTTAATGCTCGATGTCAGCAATAAACTAAATGTGATCATGGGCAACTATCGAGTCCCCTCAGGGTCACTAGAGGTTTGTCTGGTTGTTAACTTCAGGGTCCCGTGGGACTAGTCAAGGTGTGCGCAAGCTGGCTCGAAGAAACAGAACACAATGTTCTTACTCGCTCAACTCAATAAAATTTGTGAAGTAAAAAGAATGGGAGAAATTATATGAACAAAAACAACATATTTCCATTTGATGGTACATTAGTTAATGACCAAAGTAGGACATACATTCTCCAAAGCGAAGGTATACTCTGGCCATCGGCTTATAATGATCTCATAATCGTTCAAAGTTTCTTTAAAGCGATCATACATCTCATCCACAAACGGAGTAGTCGAATGCTGCGTCCGAACTCCAGACCATTTAACCTGCAAGTTTAGAAACGTTTTTTATCATTAGAATGTAACTGTGAATTAGATGTCTGAAAACCTGCAAAATTGCTCAGAGTTTGTAAATGGAAATTCACAGCCAAAGGAAAGTTCATTAAGAAACCGTAACATTTTGAGAACCTAAGAACCAAAATATTCATAATTTTCTCATGAATATTCATAATGAATACCATGAATATTCTTGATATTCATTATGAATATTTGGTTCTCAAATGAACCTGTCCCTTCATAACCATATCTCAGTAAGCATGTCTTATCTAGATTAGTACATACCTTATCCACCTTACATGTCTCGAGGAGGGATAAGCGCTTTTCTTCAATCCATATGATGATGTATGAATGGAACAATTCTTTTGCATCAACTCCATTTTTGGCAGGACTGATAAAAAAAGAATTTGAATTAATGTTTGTTAAGTCGAACATAAGCAAGAATAAAAACTTGGGCATATATTACTTGATATTCCAGCAAGCAAGATCCTTTTGAAAGTCCGCAGTTGCAATTACAAGCTCTGTAACAGGAGGAGTAGGACCCGGTGGAGGGCAGGCAACAAGAAAAGCTCGCAGCCTGCCGGAAAGTTCTGCACTGTATATTGCTGAAGAAAGATTTGGTAGGTCGATAAAACTGCAAAACAAGGTGACAAATATCAGTTCCTATTTGCTAAATTGTCTCAATTTTCTTCTTTCTTCTGATTCTTTCTAGAATTTGCAGTGAACCCTTCTTGGCCATCCGCATAAAGCTCCCCCTAGAAGCTTACTGAATAAGCCACTTTCCATATCATTAAGCCACTACCAAACAGTCATGCATAGCTGACCGAATAAGCTACGAGTCTCATTAAGCAGCTAACAGACAGGCCCTTAGAGCTATTCACAACTATTTCTAGTCGAGGTTGTCAAATAGAATGAATTTAATCTTCAAGCAGTGTCGAGAGAACACACCTTGGGAGTATATTGCAATTATGGATCTCTATGTCTGTAAAAATCTCGTTCCTTATGTTTAAGCAAAGAAATTTCATTTTCTGATAAGCTGTAGAAATGGCAACAGCATCCATCGAATAGCCTTCACCATTGAAACTAACATATTCATCAGTTTCGGTCAAGTGTCTTCTCGATCTTTTCTTGGCAGCAGCCTAATAATCACAGAAATCTTTAAAGAAAAGATAGAAGCATATGCAATTGCAACTTCTATTTGGCACGTAAGTAAATTTAATTGGAATCTTGTGAACCCAAATCAATGTTTACCTGGAAGTAGCTGTATAATTTATTCTGTGCCTCGGGAGATAATATGTCGTGCAGGAGTTTATAAAGTTTGACAGCAGGCTCCAAAACCGGTGCCGCAGTCCCAGTAGCAGGCCTAAAAACGTCCATTATGCCAGATGTAGATTGTTCATCCAATGACTTGTAGTTCTCGAAAACAAGAGCAAGAATCTGTTCGATTTGCTCATCAACCTCACCCAAGATCCTATTCTGATAAAATCATCAAAACAACACCTTAGCTTATGATACAAATTGAAGACAAGTAAATGACAAAGGCATGCAAGAGTTACAGAACGATTATGTATCAAAACGCACATTGAAAACCAAACAATATATATATATGTATAGTTGTATACGTAACATATTATATGTATTTAATAAAAAATATATAAGAATAATGATGTCCAAGTCCAAATAAAAATAATTGAACAATGTGAATATTATTATTTAAAGCGAGAGGTCAAAGTGATGCTGTCCAGATCCAAAAAAATACAAATAATGGTGTCCGAAGTCCAAAAAATAAGAATAATAAAGCCTTAATATTGTCGGACTAAAATAAAATCCAATGCAGGTCCGAAATAAAATCCCACAATTTTTTTTTAACACCAAAACAGACAGTTCACAAATAGTGGTTATGTGGCCGCTTTTTTTGAGTTCAAGATGCAGTCATTTCAGCGGTCAATAGCACCGCTAACAATGGGACCACTATTTGTCCCATGACCACAAACCGCGATAGCACCACTATAGCTGCGAGATTAACAGCATAGATGCTCATTGAAACATACGATAAAATGGAGCATTCCTTCCATTTTTACCAATTAATTTTTACCCATTTTTACGGATGTTTCATAATGCAAATAACATTCGCTATAATAGAGTTATAGAACGATGTTATTTAAGAGGAAATATGATTCACCAACATAACGGGTTTAAAGATTTACACTATATTAAAATAAAATATTAAAACAATATGGCCTTAGGATGCAACAAATTGTAACATTGGTTAATTTATTTTATCAAATAATTACTCTATGCTTTCAGATTCAATTTTGAATAATTTTTAAAGCCTGTGTGAAATACATATAAATAAGTAAAGGGAATTAACCTCTTGATGGCTAAGGGTGCTCTTGCTGTGTCCCTTCATGATAACCGGTAACAACAAGTCGTACACCAGCGAGAGACAATCAGCTGTTGGGGTAGCAACATCCATGATGTATGAGAGATATCTGAAACCATTTTTCTAATACGTTTGAAATAATCATAAATGTAAAAAAAAAATCTAAAAGGTTAGGAAAATCATAATCTAACCTGAGTTTAGTATAAGCATCGGAAACCCCATAATACGATGCAAATTCAGTGAGTAACCATTTCCATGGATCATGCAACAGTAGCTTTCTTTGTTGAACTTTCTGCACCTTCAATGAAACTTCCATAACAATGTCATATGCCACCGTTTCAGCAACAGAACCGCACTGTAAAACAAGATTTCTTGGTCTAATTATCAAGATTACGACACTAAAGAATGTAATAGATTCAAGAACTTCAAAAGTCTTCACCTTGAGGGTATCATCTAAACTTGTTGTGTAATTTATATAAAGTTGAATCTTGCCAACAAGCTCATGCTCAGGTTCTTGGTATATGGACCACCAGCGTAATTTGTCGTTCTGCCATAAATATGAATATAACTTGAACTTAACCCCCTGATGGGATTTTATAAATAAGTCGAAAAGAGTACAATGACTTTACTGGATCTTCAGAGATAGTAGCCACTTGGGCTAGAACACGGCCGTAATGATTCCCCTTGGAATCTTGTACTTCTATAATCAAGTCATCTCCAAGGCTATCTGGCAGACTGTGATCTCATCGGTCAGTAACTTTGATCATCAATATAATAAATCAACAATGTGCACAATTGAAAGGATACATACAATATATGGGTTTCACTGGACCCAGGCTGCATTCGAACAGTATCCGCTTCAGTTGAACTTTTAAGTCTTAGCAAACACGAGTACGTTTCTGTTGATATGTAACACGGGCAGTTGACAAGATATCGAATTAAAAGTTAGCCATTACTTGTTGCTTAACATATTTAAAATGCCAGTAGCTTCATAGAAAACCATTGAAGAAGTTGCAACAAAGTTGGATGCTATTCTTATAGGTCATTTAACATTCACTTTGGAGCTCATTTTCTTTAATATAATAGCCGCTCTAATCTTTGGGATAGAGGTCAGGTCTGCGTACATCTTATCCCTCCAAACCCCACCTCCTGGTGGGATATACTGGGCTCGTTTTGTTTGGATTGGTTTATTCTGGGGTACCATTTGTATGGTTTTGGGGTCCCACTTACTTGATAAGTTGATATAAGAAAGGAGGATGAAACCCACAAAACAATACATTTTTACTCCGACAAATCCTCATGAATTGTTCTTATTTCTGCATCTACCATTTCACATTAGTAAAACTTATTTTCTTAGATGGACTTGTTGGTAACACATCAACAACATTCGGTATGTGATCCAATTCCAAATTCTTAATCGCACATAGTTAGAAGTCAAGTTCATAATAAGGAAAAAAATACAGAAATACCAACACTAATGACATAGAATCCACAAACCTTGCACAATTTCATTGGTCAATGAAGTCCGACGTAGGCTTAAGACACCGGTTTTAAGAAGGCCCGAAACTTGTTTTACATACTGAGTGCTTGCTTGCATGTACGCCAAGCTCTTGCGAGAGAAAGAACCATCCACAGGCACACGAGGCGTAAAAGGAATTCTTCGAACCGCTTGCCACCCAGAAGAACATGTGGATTGTAAACTGTACAAGTGTCGTTGAATGGATTCCAATTTAACCTTGGGTGGTTTAATTGACGAAAAGTTGCATCCTGTAGGTGGATCCAAGGCCATCCTTACTTTACGAACTGCACCCATAAACACGATTATTCCAAATCAATTCTATCAAGCGATAGACGAAAGAAACACGCACAAAGATAATGTGTTGATTACAAGTCAATACCTTGTACCTTCATCTTCCCAACCATTTTCTTCGGTTTTGGACCAGCTCCTTTACTGCCAACTTCTGAAGCACGTTTTACAAGCAATTCTTCCTCCGATTGTAGTAATACTTGTTGCAAACTAAATAAAGATCAAGAACAAAAAGATGGCAAATTAAATATCGTTATTGATTCTGCTGTTGAAAAGATCGATAATGATGCTTCACAATACTAAAGATTCTCATATAGAACATGAAAAGAATGAACTAACCCAAAGGTGCTTCTTAATAAAGCACATTCATTTTCCAAGAACATGGGGGCTTCCATGCAACCCTTTGCCCAAGCATGTAGGCAAAGCCGAACACATGCATCATATGCGAGCACAGAATGCCAAGGCCCAAGTGAGCTGAGTTCAATACAAAACAGTATATAAGCTCAAAGGGTGTATGATCAAGAACCAAAGCATCCGACTTTTTAGTCATTATATTGCATTATACCTCGCGTGAAACGTGGGAAGACGAACAGGAAGAGATCCAGACGAAGCACCGCTTTCGACACAAATGTTCCTATTAGAAAGAATGAGAGACATGAATAATGCCAATAAGAAGGCAGAACATAAAACCAAATTCCACCTGGAGATACTGATGATTCTATACTACATTTTTTCTCCATAGAGTAAATACTCGTCCAATTGGTGTAAATCTTGGTGTTTTGTGAGCGTTAGAGTGTTCATCCTTCGCTTGGTTATCAGAAACATCATAGATTTCTATTTCTTTGACGCTACAATAAGGCAAAGCAGACACATTTCAAGAAAGTAAAAAAACAAACCTATTAGACGGTCTTGAACTCTCCTGCTTATGACTATCCTTTAGATCTATGCTAGGCGTCTTCCTCTCATGAGTCAGCTTAGCTGCAAAATCACGCGAATTGGCTCTCAACGAAGTATGATTTGCTTTTGACGATTGGGAGAGTTCTTCTTGCTTGTTTTCTCCAACTGAACCCAAAAATGGAGGTGCACTAGGAATATCTTCATCAAAAGCCTTTCCACTCTGAACATTTTGACCACCTACCTCCTGCAACAAGTGATCTTCATGACTAAACATTGGACATATAAAATCAAGAGAACCATGAATTAATAATACCTATTTATTCACATGAATAGCAACTTGCAGGCAGAGAAAAGAATAAACATAAGAATCCGACCATTATGCATATATTACAATTAACTACTTTACACACATTGCAAGTTCCACCACGAAAACAACCGTTTCACGTCAGGTTTGCATACATCTTACCCACCCCAGACCCACCTTTGGATGGGTTACACTGGGCTCGTTTGGTTGGCGTGGCTAGTTACACCATGTTTATCATTGGGTACATTATTCATTGAAAACATAAGAAAGGAGTCGTCCAAGTCCTATTCGACAAACTAATCAATACCCGCATCCGATTGAAGTGGGATGCAAATATGGCCATAACCACATCAAATCCTTTTACACCCAAAGATACAAAACTGATAGTTTTGAAATGAACAATCAATCTCATCAATAAACTAAACCAAATGAGCCCAACATATCCCACCCAGAGGTGGAGTCTGGCCTTGGAGTGGGATGTACCCAGACCTAACCTCTACCCCAATGAGCAAAGCGGTTGTTTCCATGACAACTCTGGCTTGATCATCAATAATCCATACATTCATGTAAGACCAAGATGAAAGTCAAAGCAATTTGTACCTTTCTAGACGGAATATCTCCATTGACCCGCATCTTTTGTGTAGTTGAAAACTCAGAGCTAGCTCTTGAATCATCCGACTCATCCTCAGTATAAACATTACTTCTCACATGGTTTTTATTGGTTCCTCTCATCATTAATCTATCAACCACATTCCCCCTTCCTCTCCCTCCAGTTATTTCAATCGAAGAGCTGACATCACTAGAATACACGTGATACTGTGGGCGCCTTTGCACAGGATCATAGTACCTATTACTAGGAGGAACTCTATCATCCTGAGGAGATGATGAATCTAGTGAGTATCGTCCACCATACACCTCTCCGTCTGAATCCGTTGACATGTCGTTTTCAGAACCTGAATTGGTCGCTTCTCCAGGCAAGACTTGAGATATTGGAACAACCCCTGGTAGATGCCCACTACTGAATTTCGAAGGCGGCGGCAGCCCAAACCCACGGCTCCCATTTCGCGAAGAAATGGGATCAATTCGAGGTCGTTGATTTGATGCAAAATAAGGAACATCCTTCTTGAGATTATTTGACCCCTGAATCAGCATACAAAATTCAATTGTTTAACAATCGTCCTAAACACAAATCAACAAATTATCATCCAAACTTCCAAGAAAGAGATAAGATTTTGTATTCTTAAAAATAAGAATATCGAAATCAACCAAAATCCACTTACGGATTCAGAAAAGAAAAGGCAGATTTTCAAAGTTTCAGTGATTATTCTATAAACTTCGATAGAAAATATATGGGTTCATATTAAGTATAAACAAGCAAAACTTCAAGTGATTATACTAATAAATTTTGTATAGCAAGAACAGATAGAAAATGAACTAGAAATCAACAGTACGTAAGCAAATCCATTAATTTCACACGAATTAATAAATGGAAATGTCGAAATATGAATCTGATAACACAAGATACAAATTCAATATAAACAAGCTTAATTTCAGCAATGAAGTAATTAAACTAACGGATTACAAAAAAATTCAAGTAAATCAAGCAAACCCATATGAAAGAAAAAAACAAAATCCAATATCAAATCCAAAATCTTAAGATACGAAATTTGGGGGTATTGAAAGCTAACCTCTTTTACCCATCTAACCGCATTGGTGTCTAACCCTTCTGTAAACATTATCTTTTCCTTTTTAGGGTTCGACTTCTGTGGAAATCACATCCAGCCACTACAACTGAAAAAGAAATTCGAAAAGAGGGTAAAAATCAAGAACATGAGAAACCCAAATCAGAAAACAAGAAATTTGCAAGTAAAAAGGAGGCGAAAATGTAGATGGTAAGTTGTATACTGAAGATCAACTTCTGGGGTTTCTGTTTCAGTTTGAGTTTCAGTGGGTGGTGGTGTTCTTGATGCTTGAGAAGATGAAGCAAGACAATGTTGAAAAAGAAATCTTGATTGAGAGAGATGGATCTGATCAAAGTGAGAAAAGAAGTTAATAATTTCAATGGTAACCCTCTCTCTCTCTCTCTCTCTCTCTCTCCAGTCTGCTCTGAAGAAAGAATGATGTTCAGTGAATTTTGATATTTTGGTATTCAAGAAATTAGAGTATAAATTAATATTCAGTTACTAATAAATGTAATTTTTTTTCTAATTCTTTTTTATTAAATTTTAATATCAAAACGAAAATCATTCAAAAATCAGTTTATTCTTCACATTTAAAATTTGGTGTCACAAATTTCAAAAATTTAAATTTTTATATAATAAAGATTGCATTTTTTTTAAAACATATAATTGAAGCATTTAGCAAAAACTCTTAAAATCCATTTTTTATGCTATTATTTATTGATATATATTACTTAAATTTAAGAGTACAAGTAAATTGTGCGTAAGTACAACTTATTAAATCTCTATATTTAAATTAATGTAACTAACTCTAGATAAAAATAATCAAATACAAGATAATTTTATCATTTTAAATATAAAAAATCTAAAATATAATTAGGATAATCATTGAGTTCTAACAGAATACGTAATTATTATCTTTATAAAAAATTTATATTATTAAATCAAAACTAAATTATTTCATTATTAAACTTAAATTAAATCATAAAAAAATTAAATTAGAACTTTTATATATTTTTAAAAAAGTTTACAATATCTTCGAATCACATAAAACAATTTTATAAAATCGATAGAGACAAAGAATAAAACAAAACATTAAAATCAAAATATATCTCATTGCATTGTACGAGTACCTTTCTACTATATATACACTATATTAAAAAGGATTAATTATGGTTTTCTTAAAAAAAATTAAGAGTTATACATTTTAAAGCTTAATATACAACTTCCATGTCGGCCATTTTCATATTAAAAATCAAAATCATTTTTATTATTTAAATTATATTTTATATCCTTATAAATAGTTATTTAATTTGTTTTATATTTATTACTTTTTTATTTTTATATTAACATAAATAATCGTATAACTAAAATATATTTAAAAAAATACGTTTCTTTTTTTACAAACTAGAAAGATACTCACACACGATATATATTTTGATTTTACTGTTTTATTTTATTCTATCTATGTGGATATTATAATACAGTTTATGTAATTTTGAGAAATGAATAATTCTTTTATTTTTGAATAAAATACAAATTTTAAAATATCATAAAATTTTAAAAATAAATATATAAATATTAACATTAAATCAACTAATTAAAAGTTCCAATTTTTTAAAATAATTTTTTAAATTTAATTTTTTATCATAATAATTTAAATTTAATTTATAATGATAATAATTAAATATTTATTATAATTCAATAATTATCTTATATTTTAATTTTTTATATTTATAATCGAAATATTAATCTTATAAATTAGATTCTATTTGAGGATATAATAAATAATTGCTTGGGGAGGAAGGAAACGTCAGGAAGGAACGGCGTCGTAGAAGTGGCAAACGCATATAGAGCCGAATTATAGGGGTAGTGGAAACACGGTGACTCAGTCACGCTTCCTTTTTCCCGCTTATTTTAATTTTAAAGAATTAAAAAGGAAAAAAAAATCACATGTAACCCACAGACACACTCGAATGTTTGTATATTATTTTAATACATATTAAATAAATGTTTGTGAATATTATAATAATAAAAATTAAAGAGTTTCTAATGTTAATTATACTTTATAAATTTATCATGTATAAAAAAATAATATACTGAATTTAAATGATAGGAAAAGAATTAAAATATATATATATATTTTTGTCGTTTAATTTTAAAAAATTCTTTAAAATATAAAAGATTTTATTTTTTTTCTTTTGACTTAAAAAAAATGAAATTGACTCAAATAATTATATTTCATAACCAAATTAACTTTCTAATTATTTCCTTCATAAAAGTCACCAAGTCTGTAATTATTATGAATTCACTAAAAGATAAAAAAGTCAATGTTTTTGGATCAGGTCCGTAACCACCGGTCTGCAGTTATTAGGTATTCGACCCAAAACCCATTTTTCTATGAAACCCCCAAGGTAAACACTTACTGATCTGACATTACGGATTCAAGAAAAATGGGTTTTGGGCCGGATCCGTTATAGTTACGGACCGGGCACAAAAAACTCTAGAATTTTGTCGTTTAGTGGGCCAGCAATAATTACGGACCTAATGACTTTTGAATAAAATCCGAAAAAAAATAATTAATAAGTTAATTTGGTTGTGGAATATGGTTATTTTGGTCAATTTTCTTTTAAAAAACTATTTTTTTAAAATCTACTAAAAAAACAAATGTCCTAAAAATCTTAAATTTCTTTATTTTAAAAATTATAAATTATTGTTATATTTTACATAAATTATGTTATTACTAAAAATGACACTATCTTTTCAACATTTTGAATTGTTTTCATAGTCTAAAGCAAGAATGACTCCCATATATATGAGAATTTGGAAAAAGAAAGTTTAAAGTTAGAATTTAGAATCTATACTTATAATAAATAAGTAACTTGGGTGACACATGTTATTTTTTGGTGAGTCGGTTTTTTTGTTTTCCCGTCTAAACACGTATCTAGACACAATTTACATTAATGGTTCAATTAGACTCATTTGAACGTATCTAGAGACAATTTACATTAACAATTCAATTATACTCATTTGATTGATATGTATCATCTTACACAATTAATCTCACCAATTTAGGATGCAATTGATTTTATTCTTTGGTTAATTAATTCGTGTGGTTACTGATTCCTGAAAAAAATGGTGTTTACTTCTAAGTTTAAATTCAATTTACCAGTATAGTTTCATTTCTAAATTCAATTTTATTCTAGTGTTAACTTCAATTTACTGATATAGTTTCATTTCTAAATTCAATTTTATTCTAGTGTTAACTTTAATTTATTCTAAATTCAATTTACTGAAAAATTTTATTTCAGAGTTATTTCAAGAGAATAACTCTAAAGTCATTCTTCAGAGTTAGCTCAACTGAACTCTGAAGTCTCCTTTTTCAGACATAGTGCACCCGAACTATGGAGTCTGAACTCTGAAGTTTTCTTTTTCAAACTTAGAAATCTGAACTCTGAAGTCTTCTACAATTTTGAATAATACAAGTCTGAAGAGTCATTCTTCAGAGTTAGCTCATTCGAATTTTAAAGTCTTCTTTTCCAGATTTAGCTTACCCGAACTCTGAAGTTTGAACTCTGATTTAATGGGATTGATTTTATACTTCAGAGTTATTTCAATAGTACAAGTCTGAAGAGTCATTCTTCAGAGTTTTATTTCATGGTTATTTCTAGGTTACAAGTCTAAAGAGTCATTCTTCAAAGTTTTATTTCAGAGTACAAGTCTGAAGAGTCATTCTTCATAATTAACTCACCTGAACTTTATAGTCTTCTTTTTTCAGACGGAATACCATGCAGAGCTTTTGGCTTACCTATACAGAGCTCTGAAGTCTGAAGAGTTTTACTTCAGAGTAATTTCAAGAGTACAAGTCTTGTAATAAACTAATATAGACTTTGAACATAAGTCTTTAAGACTTAGATTTAGTTTTGTAAGCCAGAGCCCCTCTGGTTGGTCTGGCTTTTAGATAGATTTGCTTTTGGTTGTTTATTTGAACCTTGAAAAAAAAATCTAATCCATCGTAAATAAACCAGAGGGGCTCTGGTTGATCTTCATGTTTAACTAGTGGGTCTCTGGTTGTAATTGAAACTTAAACTCTTTAAGTATTTAACATTTTTTTTTGACCCAGAGGCTCTGGATAGATGAACCAGAGGCTTTGGTTAACCAGGGGGATCCGGTTAACCAGAGGGCCTTTGGTTAGCCTTGCTTTTGGTTGGTGAGTCCACAAGGACTGGTCCTTGAGAACCAGATGAGCTCTGGTTGATCTTTTTCTGTATGATGCAAACTTTACCATAGGGTCTTTTTCAAAGATATTGGGTATTTGAATAACTCTAAACTCAAGATCTTCAGACGTCATCTTTCGATTTGACACAGACGTTCTTCTAAGTTTAAATTCAATTTACTGATATAGTTTCATTTCAAAATTCAATTTTATTATAGGGTTAACTTCATTTTAACTAATTATTGATATAGTTTCATTTTAAAATTCAAGTCTAAAGAGTTATTCTTCAAAATTATACTTCAAAATTATACTTCAGAGTTATTTCAATAGTGCAAGTCTAAAGTCATTATTCAGAGTTATTTCAAGAGTACAAGTTTGAAGAGTCATTCTAAATAATTAGCTCACCGAACCTTGAAGTCTGCTTTTTTCAGACTTAGCTCACTCGAACTCTAGAGTCTGAACTCTGAAGTCTTCTTTTCAGACTTAGAAGTTTGAACTCCGAGGTATTGTTTTAGACTTAGAAAAGAAGTCTGAAGTCGTCTTTTTTAGACTTCAAAGTCTGAACTCTGAAGTCTTCTACAAGTGTGAAGAGTACAAGTCTAAAGAGTCATTCTTCAGAGTTAGCTCACCGAATTCTGAAGTCTTCTTTTCCAGACTTAGCTCACGCGAACTCTAAAGTATGAACTCTGAAGTTTTTTTTTTCAGACTTAAAAGCCTGAACTCTGATTTAGCGGGATTGATTCCATACTTCAGAGTTATTTCAAGAGTACAAGTCTGAAAAGTTATTCTTTAGAGTTTTACTTCAAAGTTATTTCCAGAGTACAAGTCTGAAAAGTCATTCTTCAGAGTTTTACTTCAGAGTTATTTCCAGAGTACAAGTTTGAAGAGTTATTTTTCAGAGGTAGCTCACCGAACTCTGAAGTCTTCTTTTTCAGACGGAGCACCATGCAGAGCCTTTACATAGTGCATGCAGAGCCTCTACATTTCCTATACATAGCTCTGAAGTTTGAAAAGTTTTACTTCAATGTTATTTCAAGAGTATAAGTCTAAAGTCATTATTTAGAGTTATAATTCAGAATTTTTTCAATAGTACAAGTCTGAAGAGTCATTCTAAATTTACTTCTAAGTTTAAATTCAATTTACTGATATAGTTTTATTTCTAAATTTAATTTTATATTATGATTAACTTCATTTTAACTAATTATTGGTATGGTTTCATTTATAAATTCAAGTATGAAAAGTCATTCCTTAAAGTTATTTTTTAGAGTTATACTTCAGAGTTATTTCAACAGTACAAATCTGAAGTTGTATCGAACTTTCGATGATCATTCATATCTGTAAGATAAGTTCATGACATGATTTAATTTTTTCAAATTACCCTGTATAATACACGGAATCGAACCTAATGTTTAATAAAAGAACATGGAATTTTGGTTTGTCTGGGTTATAAGAATTTGGATGGAATTGAATTTTAACTTTTTAGGTTTAAACGGGACAAAACATGATGAGATAAAACTCATTGTCCATGTTTGACACAACATCAAAAAGAATTCACTCATACATGTTTGGCATGACAATGAGAGGGTGGGACAAAAAGGTATTTTCCTTGTTCGACCAATTACCAAAATAGAAAAATTAAAATATTATTAATTTACCTTCATTTCATATAACCATAATATTGTATATGGTTTAATGGTCACAACCGAGTACAGTACCGCCTGCTGTCGCCATCGACTTCCACCTCTTACAGAAAAAAATCTTCTCCACCACCTCTACAACCACTATCAGCCATCGACGCCACCTTCTATTGCCACCACTACTACCACCGTCAGTCACCTCCATCACCACCACCACCACCACCACGGATTACTACTACCATTGCCCACCACCACTATCGCATCCACCTAAACAGCCACAACTACCTCCACCACCACTATCTACATCTTCCACAATCCACAGTCATCATCGTCCATCGACCACAACTGTCTTTACCTCCACTGTCATTGTCGTTGCATCAACCTTCACCCTGTCTCAGTCAATTCATAAGAATCCTTCCAAACTGAATAAATATAGTTTTTTTTCTTTGTATGAATCAAGTTTTTTCAAACTATCTTCAATTATATTAAAATTTTCATTCAACTTTGGTACTACCATCTACATATATATGCACTTATTTATACGAAAATTGTGTAAAAATATTTATAAATAAATTATTTAATATTTACTTTATTTTTTTTATTTATAATTATTATATGATATATAAAATCATCAAACAACTTTCAGGAACAACTTATCTAGTTCTAACTTATTCAGTCTTAATCGTACCAAACACCAGACAAACATTTATCCTATCCAATTCAGCTCTTTGGTTTAATTCAATCATGTATGCATACCACAAACGCTACCATGTAAATAATTGATAAAAACAAATTATAAAAATAATTAAAATATATTAAAATCCGAGATTTCAATTCCATACTTTTCTTTTTAAACCAAATGGGAATTGGAATGGAATCCAAATCCCACCAAATCTCACAAATCAAATAGGCTTTGCAGAAATTTGACTTTTGCCTTCTCATTTTTTTCAAAGAAATAACTGTTTGGATCCAAAAAGACATTATTGAAGTAGAAATGCCAGTATTCTACTGTTTTCCCAGCAACACACACTCATGGGAAACAACAGCCATTCATGTCATTTTCCAATTCCAATACTAAAAAACATGCAACTATCTATAATTTATTTTCGAATTCGACACAAAAAAAACCAACTCCAGCGACTCCAAGTTTTAAGACCGGCCTCCGGCCTTCTTCTGCCACCATTCCATGAACTTCACCTGGGCAGCCATGGTGTCTAACCTGTATAATTGAAGAGAATGGTTTGCAATTTCTTGCCCAAAAGTCATCCCAACCACTGCTCCTGCTCCCAACGACAGCACCGCCCCTGAAAAATCCAACATCCTTTTCAACATAAAGAATGGAAATTGTCTATAAAACTGGTATATCCTAAAAGTCAATATTCACGAACGATGATCAAATTTACGTGGCCGAAAACCTTTGTTCAAAAAACCAAAACCAAACCAATCGGATCCGGTAGGTAAGTGTCTTGGGGGTAGGATGTAAATTGCCTCTACCCGCAGGGGTAGTGTGATACTATGTGTGAATATGTGGAACTCCATAAGAAGAGAGGTCTCGACACATATCAAGGAGAAATGGTAGTGAGACTCTAAGAGGGCCCTTGTTCAAATGTGGCTAATCTATGATCTCCCAAGATGGTCTTTCAAAACTAAAACACAATTTGCGCAAAACTAGTTCAGGACCGGAAGAAGTACCGAGTTAAATCCAAGGGTCCACATTTCTATATTAGTTTGTCCCAAAACAAGTGTTCACTCTCAAAAGGGTCTACTTTCTGATTATACCCTTAATTATGAGATGAATAAATTCATTACTCTCTCTATTATTAAGAATAAAATTATCATTTTATTAATTAAAAAATGTAATAATTACACATTCCTGAAAGTTTTGCCTTTTTTTATTGTGAACATCTATTTTGGGATGGAGTGACTACTACCCTCCATTTCAACTGCAAACAGCCAATTGTTCTTGCAAAAATGCAAAAGGACTATTAGATTTTATAAGAATGAGCAGCTTTTTGATTTTTACAGAAATGTAAATAAAAAGAAACAATCGAAATTAAACTCGCTCACTCTTACAAAGGGTAGTGTTTTATTCTTTTTGCACTTTGTAGTTAGAAACCAGATAAGATGGGTGCAAAACAATCACATAATTGATCTCAGTCTCAATCTTCAGAGAAGATTTATGTTTCTATATAAAGTTTTCAGACATCAACGTTTGGAGATTTCTGGGCAAATAATTTAAAACTGATTCGACAATATTATGACAGTGGGAAGTTAGGAAGACCCATTAGGCACAAAAAGCAGAATAGCAAGTTGGAGGAGAATGCTTACCATGGGGACTTTTTGAATATTTCCATGCAAAGCTGGCAGTTGATACAGCTCCAACTATGCCTCCAACAGCCAGAAACTTCACAGCATCACGTGTTGTCTTCAGCTGTAATAGAACAATCACTTCATATTTTCTCAGAATATAAAGATAGCCACAGAAAAGTATGATAAACCATTCAGATAAAGGAAGGAATAGAGCACAAAAACACTAAGTAGTATGCTGACCCTACATTCAATAAAGCAAATACAAAATTGTTGTTTTAAGGTCAACTACCAGCTTCACAAAAGATATCAGCTTTCTCTGTTAGACAAAGAACTATTATAGATCATATCTGGGTAGGGAATAATGTCTATACATCATTTAGACTCCAAGATAACTTTGACACATAAAATCAAGTTCTGCCACCTTTCGTATTACACTCCTTGCCCAGAAGTGATCACTAACATTGAAGATTTTGTACTTCATAGTTCATGAATTAAAAAACATGTCCCTCTTCTAAGATTCTTAATAGTCGATCAGAGCACAATGAAAGAGGAAACAAATGCACATTGATGTACTATTGCATATAAATAATCATATGGTCAGTGCATAACATACTTTTGTGGCTCAACACTATAACCATCCCCAAAAAAACCCAAAGGGCACACTGCATCTGCTGATGGTAAGCAAAAGAGTGGCATTTTTTCACAGAAATAAATGGGAAGACTCATCTAGTGTTAGTGTATGACCACATTGTACTGTGTGTTTTAAAAACTATGTCAAAATTCCTCACGAGGATGACTAAGAGAACATCCTCTAACCACTTCAGCAGAATTCATCTTCCTTGTGTGAGCCTCAACTGGTGAAACCCAACACAACAGAACAGAATCTCACTTAGCAGTCGAGACAAATTCTTATGGTGCCAGTAAAATGTGAGAGTTGGTATCGGTATCACTATCACCAAGACACAGGAAGAGAGGAAAAGAACCATGCAATGTTCTATTTCAAGCAGATGAGTAAACTAAAACTAGGAAATAACATTTTATTCATAGAATCTTCGGCTACAACATCCATTCGAGCACAAAGTATCAAGTCAGGCCGTTCACTACTGGTTATTTAAGAAGAATAACAAACACTGTCTCTGAGTAAAAGACATGGGATGTTCCATATTGATTTCAATGTTTCCTTCCCTGAAAAGCTTCTAAGCTATAAAATTAATTCCCTATAATCATTATTACATGCATGATATAGATTTTAGTCCACGGAATCTACTTTAATCTGAAAACTAGAAAGCAAACTGAAATACTTCGCCCCATTCTTTCACTTTATGCTGTGCATCCATCTGTATATCATATCCATAGCAGGATATTTCCAATATGTGTGCAGTGCAGGGTCGAATGTTGTTAATTTGTTATTGAACCAGTGATATCAGCTCTTGAACAGCTAAAAAAAAAAGAACAAATTGATGTGTATTTATCATGTAACATAACACAACGATATTTGAAATGAACAAATCCACTATAGTTAACTTGATAACATAGGCATTAAAAGATGATTGCTAAATCGGTTGTTTGGGTGCACATGAGATGAGTTACAACATAAGTACAAAACCAAATATGTCACAGAACCCGCAATGCGAATTACTTTGAATATACAGGGAAAAAGAACATAATAGAAAATACAACATTGAATGGCCTTATGCATACAAAAATAAAAATGAGTAATCAGTAAAATTCAACCTCTATAGATGAAAAGAAACAAACTATTTGCCCATATGCTAAAAAACATACAAACAAGAACTGGATTAGAAAATGAATGTCTTAGGCTATAGATTTAAAATACATACAAACACAAAAATTTATGCTTGCCTTGAGATCTAAATAAGATTACATCAGTGGATTCTAAAGAGAACTAAGCCAACCATATAGGTCCTAATCTTCAAAAACCTAGCAAGGGATTCATGCAATTTCAAAATAGATTTTTATCAAAACCAATAATCATGAAAGGAAAATAATCAATTTGCATACAAGGGTTTTACATTCGGCTTGACATAACCTAATCAATCAATCGACGTCACAACGAGATAGCCAATCAATCGACGTCACAAGCTATACAAATAAAAGAAAAAGGCATATAAAATATGAAAGATTAATCATACAACGGGTCCGTGGACAGGATCGGAAGCGATGAATTCTTCGACATCGGAGGCTGACCATGGCGGAAGAGGGTTTTGACGGCGGATGTAAGGGCGATAATTATCCAAGATCCTGAACCTATCACTCCAAAAATCTTTGAATCCTTGCCATAACGATTGATCTGAAGCTCCTTCAATCGCTGTGATTTCCACCATTTCTTCCGATCTATATCTCTCAAACCACTATGCTGCGCTTTTATCTTTTTTAGACTCATAAATCAACCAACTATTTAGTTTTTATTTCTTTCGAAAACAAACAAAAATATAAAGGGTAAAATGCACAAAATAACGATTTACTTTCATAATTTTTTTTAGGGAAAAGTACAATAAAAACCAATGAACTTTCTTGTTTGGAATGATTAAGTCCTTGAACTTTTTTTTGGAACAAATAAGTCCTTGGACATTCCAAAACATGTTAAATAAGTCCTTGAACATTCCAAAATATGTTAAATAAGTCCTTGAACATTCCAAAATATGTTAAATAAGTCATTGAACAATTTTTGGAACAAATAAGTCCTTGGACATTCCAAAAAATGTTAAATAAGTCCTTGGACAATTTTTGGAACAAATAAGTCCTTGGACATTCCAAAAAATGTTAAATAAGTCCTTGGACAATTTTTGGAACAAATAAGTCCTTGAACAATCCAAAACATGTTAAATAACTTCTTGAAAAAAATAAAGTGGTAAAATAGTAAAAAAAATCCGAAAAAAAAACCCAATGAACATTCATATTTTGAACGATTAAGCCCCTAAATATTTTTTGAACCAAAAAGTATTTAGATATATAAAATTAAACAAATATAACAAAAAAGTACTTATATTTACAAAAAAATAATTACCATTTTAACTAGTTGTACAAGTCATAAGAATGTATCCAACATGTTTTATAAAAGTTCAAGAAGTTATTTAACATGTTTTGGATTGTTCAAGGACTTATTTGTTCCAAAAATTGTCCAATGACTTATTTAACATTTTTTGAAATATCTAAGGACTTATTTAACATATTTTGGAATGTCCAAGGACTTATTTGTTCCAAAAAATTGTTCAATGACTTATTTAACATGTTTTTGAATGTCTAAGGACTTATTTGTTCCAAAAAAAAGTTCAAGGACTTAATCATTCCAAACAAAAAAGTTCATTGGTTTTTATTGTACTTTTCCCTTTTTTTTATTATAGCATTGTACTTTTAGTTTTTCTTATTACAGCAATGTATTTTCGAACTATTTTTTATTAGGACATTATACTTTAAAAAATTTACCAATTATAGCATTGTGTAACCTTTTGATTTAAATTTACTCATTATACTAGGTTTTTATGTCACCTCATTGTCCATGTAGGTTGTCCACATGTACTATAATGATGTAACTTTCTTATTACATTATTGTATTTTTAAAATTATTTTATTATAGCAACTAGTTCTTATCAAACACTGTATTTTTTTTAATATTTAGATATTTTACATGTTATTTAATAAATGTATTAAATGAATTAAAAAAATTCTAAATTGTTCATTAATATACCAATATCAATAAAACTAGTAAAACACAACTTATCTCGATAACATTTTTAAAAAAATATGTGTTTTTTGAAAAAAGTAAAATAAGAATTGTTCTTTTTTTACTAAAAATATTATCTTTTAAATAATATATTATATTTTGAAAAACTTTTTACTTTACGTATAAATATATTAAATTAATTAGACTTTTTTGAATTATTTATTAATATAACAATATTAAAAAATTGTAGATAACAATTTATTTCGTTAATATTTTAAAGAGAGCTTTAAAAGATATGTATTTATTTGAACAACATAAAATTGAAAAAAAAAAATTTACAAACAAAATATATCTCGAAAATAATGTTTCATATTTATTTAATAAATATTTTTCTCTAAGAATATTTAATTTGAATGCAACTTAATAAGAAAAAGTAAAAAAAATAATTTTTTTAGATCATAGCAATGAAAAATGAAAATCACTAATAATAATTTGAAATAAATTTTTATTTTAATTTTAATTAAGTCATCAAAATGATGTGGCATCCACATCACCTCATTAAAGCCACACAAGTAAAAAGTCAAAGGGTTAACCGGTTTAAAATGTAACAGGTTACCCATTGCTATTATAGGTAGATTTTTTAAAGTACAATGCCTTAATAAAAAATAATTTGAAAGTACATTGCTGTAATAAAGAAAAACAAAAGTAGAATGCTATAATAAGAAATTTTATGAAAGTAGGGTGCTATTTTATGCATTTAATCCAAAATATAATTCTTCAAGATACTTCTAATTTCATGTATAAAAACTAACTAATTAAAAATGGAAATTAATTAAAAATAATTATTTTAGACATTTCTCTTGTAAAATCATAAAATATCACTATCTTTACAAGTGACAGACCTGTAATTTACGAAGGAATCAAAATATAAGAAAAGTACAAGTTCCGTAACGAGGTCATAAGTGCAGGAACCAAATCTATAAATTAGTCCTACCACCTCCACAAGTTAAGGAAGTGCAACTAACTTGCGAAACTATGTTTATTTTACAGATTTGGTACCGGGTAGTATGCAGTGGCAGTTTTCAATCATACAGTGTGTAGTCGTAGTCTAACTTTTAGCGATTGTCAGTTATCCTCGTTCTCCTCTTTGAATTGCCCTATTGAGTAAGGGTCGGGTCGGTGTTTGCAAAAATGTCGAGCCGATGGGGTCCGGTGCCGGTAGTGACAATGACAAAGGGGGGAGCAGGACACTCGTTGTGCTAGTGGAATGACCCAACTGGACCTAGTCAGCCCGAACCGTTTTGTTTTGCGGTTCTAGAGGACCCTGAACAAGAAGAGGCAAAGATGCCAGACCTGAACACTGTGGAATCGGAAGGGATTGCTCAGGATCACATCACTTGCGAATCTGGTTTAAAAACTTATTTTTTACATTTTAACCCATCCATAAATTGCAGACAAGCCACTTGTGGAGGTAGTGACACCTTGATGATTTTAAGAAAGAAATGGCTAAGAGGTGAAACCAAGCTGAAAATAACTATTTAATTAATTTCTCTCTAATATAAATATTTATTCATTAATTAAAAGTTAAGAAAAGGATAATTTGTGCAATTATTGAAGGAGGGACAAGGGAAGATTCACATGTAAATCCATTGAGAAAGAGTATGAAAATGATTTATTTGAAAATTTATATGTGAATTAACGTTACAAGTTATTCAGGGGTTTATATGCATTTTCAAATGAATTTTTTTTAATGGTTCACACAAATTAACTTTTCTTTTTTATTTCTCACAGTATTTAGGGTCGTTTACCCAAACGTTTACTAGTAAAAATCAATACTTTAACATACTTTACCGGGTAAGATTAAAGTTCATCAAAATGGTATTATATGCGATAATGTATCCGGTGAACACTTACCGAGTAAAATTTGTTAATATAAGGCTTTGTTATTCTCCAATCTTGTCATTTATGAGTTTTGGTGTTATATTTCAGGTTATTAGTTTAAAGGGGTTGTTTCTGTAAAGGTGTTGATCAAGAAGGGTGGTCTGAAGCTGTCATGTTTCTAGAAGGGTACCGAAGCAGTTGCATATTTTTGAAGGGGTCAAAATGAAACTTTTTGATATATATATATATATATATATATATATATCAGGGAGCGTTCAAATAAAAACCACTTCATTTGTTAAAACTGTGAAAACCGCATTCAACCAATTATAATTCATCATTTTGTTCATTTTTTTTGTAATTATGAGAGGTTGATTAACCATTTTTATTGTGGAGGGTGTTAATCATGGATATTATCATCTTCATTATTTTAATTTTAGAGAAATACATGAAACAGTTTTATTAAAATTTCATTAAATATTATATGAAACAATTTCATAACCATATAAGAAACAAATTCATCAAAAAAAGCACTATATGAAACAATTTCACAATATTAAACAATATCATGATTTTTTTCCTTCAAAAGATTAAACAATGAAATCGACGTATGAGGGTGGTTTGTATGGTTTTTACAAATGAGTGTGGTTTTCATTTGATCGCTCATCTCTCTCTTTATATATATATATATATATATATATATGTATATGTGTGTGTGTGTGTTCATAGCTCATATCAGTTTTACAATTTTGAAAATTCCTTCGTCTTCATTGAGAGAAGTTTTAGAGTTTCCTCATCTTCTGAGAGTTTTTAGGTTTTTCTTCTATATTTCAATTTCTTGTATGCGAGGTTGATTGTTTGTACAAGAATCGTCACCATTATTTACCACGTAAGACTTCCATCTTTATCATCGTTTTTACTGGGTAAGATTCGGTCTTACCATGTTCATCCGGTAAGGTAAATAATTAGATAAACTTTTCACTAGCATAAGATGTCAAAAATATCACGTAAAATATTATTAGAGCATCTCTAACATATATATATTTTTAAATAGAGAAATAAAATAAGGTTATGAATTTTAAGCTAATTTTTTTAAAAAAAAGGAGAAACAAATAGTAAAATTCTCCAATTTTGGAGGATCCCTAAAAAAACAATTGCCTATTAAGAGAATAATAAAAGCTATTATTTTTACTACTCTATTGAAATAAAATGTTTTAAAAAGATAAATAATATTTTATAACCAACTTGTGGAATTTAATCAACGAAATTGACGATTCAAATTCCATCATGTCCCATAGGAATCTAGCAAAACAAACATCACCCAAATGTCTGCCTTGTTTTGTTTGCTTAATCAGTTTAAAGATCTTAATAACTTATTTGCTTAGCCATTATGTAGTATATTTGCTTTCACTAGAAATGGCTGAATTTGATAAGTCGTCTTAAATATGATATATATATGTTGTATCTCAAATTGTGTATCTTCTGATGCTACAAAATGAGCAATCGAGCTTAGTCGTACAGGTCCTCAACGTTACACTCTCCGAGAAAAACTTTGATGCTTCGAGGCGAACCACAATTGCCTTCAGCAATAACAGCTCGATCGTTGGCAGCCATATGTGCGATGATCTTGTAGATCATTTCAATCTATCAAAACGAAACAAAAAAACGTATAATTTCAAAAAGGAACAGAAAAACGACTTGAAAGGGTATATATAGAAAGGACGTACGTCTTCGGAGGCATGGCAGCGATCAGCCACTTCGTCTAGCGACAATGGTTCAATAGGGTCCTTGCAACTGAAAATATCATCACAACACCATACTAGTTATGCATATCAGAAGGGGTACCCTACCAAAGGGTCATTGGCCCAGCAGCGGTATCCAGGTTACCAGTAGAGTTCAGCCTCCCAGAAGGTCAAAGGTATGGCAAATAAGCAACTTCAACTTGAAACCTTTTTCGGAAAAGAAATTCGCATACCTGGCCTCATTGAGGACGGCAAGGACCCGCTTCTGTAGGGCTAATACCTCTCCGGCTGCTTTCTTCCCGGCTTCAACTCCTATCAACAATAAACTAACTCTTGGTGACAAAGCTTTATGGTACGGTCATAGGGGGTGGTTTTTGTGAGAACACAAAAAAAATTGAGAACTGTGAGAACCTGTATATTCATTGATGCATATACACTAATGAATTACAGTGAGTATATGAATCAATGCATATATACCTGTATACATAGTAGATATGTATTGATGAATATGCTCTTTCAACGGAATACATATTTTCTTAGTATATACGCATCAATTAAATAAGAAACAACTACTCTAATTTTTTGGTCAGTTGTCAGGTCTGCGTATGGACTCGTTATCTAGTTTCCAGAAGCAAGTTCCTATGGAAGATAAGATGTACCTGGTTGATGGTAAGCGTTGATATTTACAAGAGACGCGTAAATACCAACTGCTCTTTCGTAAAGTGCTATTAGAGCCCCGACCGATCTAGGTGTCACTTCTTGCACACTGACTGTAATCGATTCCCTCCCGTTTGAATAGAGAGCTGATCTTGTTCCCTGCAAAACGAATACACTTCAAAACAAGTACAAAATTTAAAGCCGATAAACTATTTATTTAATCAAGTCATCTTAATCTATCGAACATTAGCTAATTGAGGTTGTTCGACAACCATCTGACGTTTTCATGATCCCAATTATCTCAACTTCAATTGCACTTTCAATAGGTACGTATACATCCTACCCTTCTCAGTCCCTACATTTGAGTGGGGTATATATATATATATATATATACCTATATATATATATATATATATATATAAGTTTTATGCTCTACGGCATCAAATGGGGGGAACAGGAAAGAAAGAAGGTATAGATTTGATAGGCACCTGTAACATTCCAAATAAGTAGTCACCACAAGTGACCCCTGGTTCAAGCTCCCAATCATGACCGGGGGGTCTATCACGCAATACTTCAATGAAAGTGACGAAAAAATTGTGCACACCCTCTCTCAGCTGTTGAATGTAGCTGTTAAGGAGGATGTGTTAGAAACCAAATTATGACTCATACAGTAAACCAGATTCTTGAAACTTACGCATGCTGGTCTGTGCTCCCTTTATTTCCGTAGACAGTAAGCCCTTGATTTACCTATACAAAAGAAAGATACAGTTTATGAACCAATACTTCGTCTCTTGAAACATTTTAACTTGATGCCTAGTTGTTTGTCGAAAAGGTGTGGGATTCAAAGCAGCAGCCAGCACTTAGATGCGTTTGGTACGCAGATGGGATGGGACTGGACTAGACGGGCAAGAATGAGATAGGCTGGTGAAAGTATTGTGGAAGGTTTTAGGGTTTTAATTTAACATGGGTAGTTTAGTAATTTACCTATCTTATCCCATCTCCACATCTTTGTTCCACCTATTTTGGTGTCTAACATGGGACAACAGATTTTTGTTTTGTTCTTTCTTAAGGGGCCTTAAGTGAAGAACTCATAATCCTAGTTCATAGTTGGATTGGGGGGGACTATATTAGCTCACAAGTCGATCCATAAAACAAATATGAAAGAAAATGTACCCTATTCCCATCAAGGTCGAACTCCTTCCCAAGTGATTCCATGACCAGCTGCTGCAAATATCTGCTAAATAACAACAGGCTGTCTTTGTAGGGTAGTACAACCATATCCTGTTAGACGCCAAAAATACAAATGATCTCAAAACCGAAACGAAAAAAGTAGAATGTTTAGGTAATAGTAATTTATCTCAGCAATTACCTTTGATCCTACACCATTTGAAGCCCAGTGCCAGCATAATGCAAGCAATGCTGCAGGGTTGTTCTTGATCTAACATACACAACATTAATCACATACATGCCAAATATTTGGATTTATAATAAGAGTGGACCATGTCATCCAAGATCAACATATTACTGGTCAAAATGGGTATGAAATAGAAAAAAATTGGAACTTTGTTAAACATATATTTAATCTTTAACTCAGAAATGTATAACATTAAGGGCGATGTACGAAGAAAATTGTACCACATTAGTCCTGTTCGCCTTGTCCATTAATGATGCACCAGCAAGCATTTCTTTGATGTCGATTCCCTAAAGTAAATATTACGATGTATAAATATTGTTTGAAGAGGAAACTGTTGCAAAATTAAAACAAACCAAACCAAACCAAACGAGCCCAATATATAACACTTGAAAGTTAGGGTTAGGGGGCGTGAGATGTGTGCAAACCTGATCCCTATCCCAAATAGTAGAGTGGACAAAACGTTGCAAAACACAGATGAGAATCAGGGGCTGTTTGGTTGGTTTTCCATGAAGTCTTCTATGGATAAAGCTCACTATGTAGATTAATCTGTCTATATAGACTGGGAGGGTTTTTTAATAGATGGAAGTAGCGTGTTTTTTAATTGGGAGGGGCAGGTTTGGAAAAAACTTTGCTTTCTGCATAAAGCTCCTCCTTGAAGCTTAATGAATAAGCCACTTTCTGTATCATTAAGCCACAACCAAACAGTCATGTATAGTGGACCGAATAAGCTGTGAGTCCCATTAAGCTCATTAAGCTGCTAACAAACACTTGACTAAAATTTAAAAAGGGTGCAACCTGAAGTGCTGCAGCAAGTAGACCAACTGCTGACATTTCAGAAGTTCTTCCACCAACCCAATCGAACATGGGAAATCTAGCTAACCACCCTTCAATCCTTGCCGTATTGTCTAGTAATGAATTCTCTTGTGTTATGGCAACACCCTGCATACGAGCACATATAAGGGATAAGCAAAGAACACCAAAAGGAATTAGCAAAAGAACCGACCGGCAATTGATCATTTGCCAATTTGCGGCTTATTAAAAGTTTAATCAACTTTGACAACTTTTCCATCTCCTATTAACTGATTAAATTCACCAGTTTGGCAACTGTAAGCTAACTTACTTTTTTTAGCTTATTGAAAATATCCCATTTGATAAGCCATAAGTTAGCATATAAGCTAACTTTTTGAAAAGCTACTTCAAATAGCTTATTGGGGAGTTTTCACTTTTTTTTTTCCAATTATGCCCCTTATATTTTACCTTTTACATTATCAGTTAGTCTTCACCAAACATAACTGGTTGTTTAAACATTTAATATTTATATACAACAAATGCAACAAACAAAATCACGCACCCTTCTCATCTTTGGTGAGGATTGAACCCCTGACCTCCTGGGAAGCCAAAAGCCCAAGTACCTCTAGGCCAAAGGCCCTTTGGTAAACATGATTAGTTTATCAGCCAACAACTAGCTTATTAGTTGGTTTGCCAAACATAGCCTAACAGCTAGCTTATCAGCTAGTTTGCCAAATATACCCTTAGTCAAAAATGTTTTTTGGGTCAAATTAGCTAAATGGTCTTTACTAACAGTAAAGTCTGTCTTTTTGGTAAATAATTCATATGTGAAAGATGCATAGTACCATATGATGAATCAAGACGAAGGCAACTCAAGTTAAAAACAATTACACACCTATAACCACTAAACCAGATCATGTGAAATCATTGTATTGCTTCATATAATAAAAATTAGAAAGAAAAGAGTTTAATCGATGAATACACAAAAAACACCTAATCCACATTCCAAGGGTCGAAATTGTTGAACTCGTTGTTATATATGTCTAAGAGAACATTTATTGATATGTACCAGATAATTTTCCTTTTACCGATGTACACTCGATACATTATGAACTCCAAAATTTTAACTCATTTTGAACTAACAGGGTGAATTCAGTTCCATGCTCCTAGGAACGAAAAAAATACAATAAAAGCGGAAAAAGGAAGCTGCAAATCAGAACCTGTTTTGCAAAATTCAGTCCAGCTTCACGAAATGCCTTTTGTACTTCTAACAAACCATTTCTGGTTTCAGGAGTACCTCCACTCTATAAGTCAAAGTTCAGAAAAGGTAACATTTTTAGAAAAGAGAAACGATAATTAAAGAAATATTATTCCGATGCAGATTACAGACCTTTGAAACAACTATCACGAGCGTAGACGCCAACTCAGGGCCAAGTTGAGCAATTTGATGGTCAATTCCCGCTGGATCTGTATTGTCGATGAACCTTATCTGATAGAAAACATTACATATCCAACTTCGAAATGAGAGAAAACAAATGAGTAGTAGTACGAATCAAAGAGGTTCCACATATTCTAACAGAGAAAATGAAATAAGTCACATTTTCACAAGTTGGAAACAGACGAATCAAAAACCTTGAGAGGAGGATTATCAGGAGCCAAAGCCTCTGCAACAAACTGTGGTCCAAGAGCTGAACCTCCAATCCCAATAGAAAGTATTTGTGTGAAGCGACCAGCTGAAGATGAAGGGGGCTTTATCTGTAATTATAAAATTCACTATATTAGATATAAAAAAATAATGAAAGAAAAGGGTAAATCAAACTTATAAGTGCGCTGATATATTGTACTTAGCAATGCAGGACCTACACAAATGAAACTAAGCGTATGCATCGCCCTTGTGCATGGAGATTTAGTTTGTTGATTAGGAAATTTAGATACTGAACTTGAAATGGCTGATATTTTCACTCAAAACCAAACTAAACCAAATGGACATAGGAAATCCGACTCGAAAAGGTTGGAGGTAAGATGCAGACGTGACCATTACCCAAAATAGCAGAGCAGTTGTTTCCGTGATGACCCACAAATCCACTCAAAAAACCTCATTTGGAATTCTGTTTAACATAGTAAGATGGTCCGACCACAAATGCACTTAAGCATCCTGGCAACTTCCAACTTCCTCTCAATCGCAATTTTGTCACTCTCTCTCTATATACCACGATAAAGGGCGCATTTGACTAAAAATCCTTACCGAACTATGTTTCAGTTTCTCACTATTTCAAGAATTCAAGATTTAGTTCTATAACACGATAAAGATTGGCTAAAGTAAAATTCTAGAGTGATTCCTTTGAGTTCATTTCATCAAAAGAATACCACAACCATAGGAAAGAATAATGTCACATTGCTTTTAATCCTATACCACATGCATACATACATATAGGTTAAGGTTAACTGAGAACCACAAAAACTTTAAGAACCATGAGAACCTGTATATTCATCAATACATATCTACTATGTATGCAAGTATATATGCATGGATACAGATACTCACTAACTTCATTAGTATATATGCTTCGATAAATATACACTTTCTCATGGTTCTCACATGAACTGGGCCCTATATATATGTGTGTGTATATATTTGGGATTTCTCATACTAATTCCTGGTGATTGTTTGTAGATGATCACATAATCAAGTACTACAAAATGCTCAAATAGTAGAAAGACATTGAAATAGAAGCTGATGAGAGTAATGGAACTAACCTTGCCCCCAACGACTTCATCTGCAAATGCACAAATAGATTCTAATGTATTCTCAATCTGCAACCTCAAGAACGAATTGGGTGACAATTTAGGGTTTCTAAGCCAATAATGCCCCACCATTCTTCCTTCATCTGGATTCGCAATTGCCCCCTTTTCAAGCTCCTCCATCGCCTTAAACGCCTTCAAAAACCTAGGTTCCATTTCCTTTACAAATTCCTCCGTAAACCCAACTCGACTCACATCCAAATACAGTCCTAATTCCTTGTGTTGATACAACCACTCTGTGTATCTCTCCCACAACGCTTGCGGATCCATCTCCAACCCTTTCTTAGACTTCGATTTTCCCGCCAGTTCATCGTCAATGGTGGTGGTACTCTTTGATACATTGGCTGGAACTTCACGCGCCACCGAGTGGGTCAAAATACTGGTGGTTTTCGCGTTCCAGGTATTGCAGCAGACACTTGAAAAGCCAGCTTTCAAGGTCTCTTCGATTCGATGATGTTGGTAAGAAACAACCGATGGGAGTTGGGTTTTCGATAACGACGATGACGAGTGTTGGTTTCGCATCAAATTCGATGATGATGATGATGATGGACAAAGGCCCGATATGGCGGCCATGGGAGTGTGTAGAGAGAGCGATGAGATCGAGGTGGTTTTAGAAAGAGATAGCCATTAAAATGGGGGGTTTTGAGAAGGAAAGCTTTGTATAGTAATACATCAAGCAACAGTTCCCGTTTGAGGTTCAATCCGAATTCCGAGCTCACCCATGGCGGATTCAACATCTTCCAAAAAGAAAATCTAACAACTTTTTTTGATCGATTGAAAAAAGAAATAGTTGGCAACCGTTAATGCTGTGTTCTTGAATTCAAGAAGAAAATAAAATAAAATAAAAAAGAAATTTATTTGTGTTCTTGATATTAAAAAAAAGAAGAAGTGGAGGGAAGAAAATATTTTATAAATTTATTTATTTAACGATTTATGGTTGGAGACCATCAGTTAAGCGATATTTAGTAGTTGTTGAATGGTTTGGTGTAAAATAATTAAAAAGCTCTCATGATATAATGCAAAATAAAATATAATTGTTTGATAATTATTTACAATAAAATTAGTTAGTTGAATGGTTAAGGGGAGACCCATGATGCAAAATCATTTAGAGGCTTTTAAAACGATTAAGAGACGTACTTTTTTTTTTTGCCAAACAAGATTTACTCTTAATGATTCAGAGTCTGCCTCTTTTTAGAACTGTTAAGAGGTAAACAAACAAACTCTTAGTCATCAGTTAGTTTACTAAATACAGCAAAAATATCAGACATCATGATTAATAAAAAAAAGAATCATCTGATTGATTCCGATGTAATATTCAAATATTTGCAACTTCATCGATTAAAAAATTATTGGATTTAATTTTGTCAACGTTTAATATAGGCACGTCCCTTGCCCACATGCTTGTAAACCTGTCCATAGGTGTCGTTGTCTCAACAGACAACGTAAACAAAACATTTTATTTGTTTATAAAGTGTAACCTTGATTGTCTTCATAAAATGGAACATAAGGGAGTGTTTGCTTCAGGGAAAACTCTCAATCTTTGCATTCGTTCTTACCGGGTAAGATTTTTGGTCCTTGCCGCATAGCGTCTAGTATCCATCGTTTACGGCTAGGACTACTGGGGTATCTAATCCCATTCGCTCCCCTAGCTTTCGTCTCTCGGTGCCATACTCATCTGGTAAGGTAATGTAACATAAAATAAAAAAAAACAAGTTCTTGACCTGACACATGTTCACTGATTACATGTAAAGTAGGTTGATGTATTGAAGCAGATACGCTTCGAAATTCATTCTCAAACAAGATTTAAAAGAATCATTTCGTAACAAATTCACATCATACGAACAGTAATTTGCTTTCCCAAGATATTAAAAGTTAAATATTTAATAATGATACTGATTTTCTGTTCGATATGTTTAGCTTATTTGCTTTAAATAATTGACAATTTTATTCTAAAAGAAAACCAAGATTTACTACAAGTTGTGTTGAGGATATACTTAAGGTCATGGGCTTAGGCTTACTTCTGTAGCTCCACATTTTTTGTAGATTTTTTAGTAACAGTAAACAGAGGCTCGTCGCAGACTATACCAAGGCCCAGTCGTGAGTTGATACCCGTTGGGCTGATGATTTCCTAGGCCGTGGCCCGGGCTACCCAACACTTGGCCCGGCCCTGCATACGGTTCCATACAAACATTATATACCAAATCTTACCTATTTAAGCCCTTGATTAATTAAGAACAACAAAATAACTCGATTGAGAGAGTTTGAGATCGAGATGGATGGATTGAGCGAGTATGGGATTGCAACACCTGGGATTGAGAACATCAACAAGGATCGATTTTGTTTCCCGGTTGAAATATACCAGATCGATTTAGGTTTCCCATTCGAGAGGTGAGCATGATCAGTACAGAGATTAGATCTAGAATAAGATGAGGGTTCATATGATATCATATGACGTTCAAAGCTTACATGACCCGAGTATATTAGTTGAGTATATAGGATTTGGTACCTTGATGTATTAACATTGTATTTCATTCGCAGAATTGCAAACCGTAGAAGTTATATATATATATATATATATATATATATATATATATATATATATAGTTGGGTTCACGTGAGACCAAGGGTTTTTCGTGAGACCCATAAGACCAATTTATGTTCATTGATCAACTTTATAAGTTAATGATCTAACGGTCTAAATTGCACGATGGCAATTTGGTAATTATTAAGAAATCTCATGGCGTTTATGAATGTTTATATTTTGTCAAATTATAGATCTAATCCAAGGGTTGAGAATTGGTCTTACGAGTCTCACGAAAAACCATTTGTCTCACATGATCCCAAGTATATATATATATATATATATATATATATATATATATATATTGTTGTCAACAGTCGTATGATGTGTATTTATATGTTAGTATAACACTTTTGTTTTCAAATAGCATCGTTGAAAATGTTTTTGAAAAATAAGAAATGTAATATTCTCGATAAGAATTCAGGATTGTTACATTTTTCCATCTCAAAATGCCAAAATCGATTTATTAAATATTATTTTTATTTTAACAAAATAAAATACTTTTTTTTATACCAAAAATAAAATATTTTTAGTTAATAATTAATACAAGATATTTATAACAATAAATTGATTATGATCCACAAGTTTTTTCCTATCCAAATTGACACTTCAAATATTTGGTTATTTTTCAACATATTTTTATTTAGTTTTTATATTTATTTTAGAAAAAGAAATATAATATTTAAATTCCTCCTATAATTTAAAAAATGTTTATTTAGTTATAATATTAATATGACACTGATATAACATAATGAAACTTAAAAATGCGTTTTTATTCTGTAAATTTCTAAATAAACATCTTTGAAAAGATCGACTCTGTTCAACTTCTTCGATGTAAGAAAATGATTAAAAATTAAATGAAAAAACATTTTTTTTTTAATTTAATATTATAATATTTTACATGTATAGACACACACAATAATAGTAGGCCATAAATCCATTTTGCCCCTAGAAGGTGGTCCACATAAGTACATCCAAAATGACCTCCATTTTATGTTTTGTAACCAAATATCAAGACATAACATAAGCCAAGAAATTGGTGGTTTCCCACTTTCCATTAAATAATTGATTTCATATCACTATTACAATTCAGAGTAGGTATGGCAACAGGGTGGGAATGAGACGGGTTTTATAATTCTCGATTCCGTTCACGGCCCTTTGTATGGGGATTAACATCCCGTCCGCGGTCAAACATTTATCAATCTCCGGTCAAACCTCATAAATAATATCCTTTAATTTGATTATACCAGGGATCCCCAGTCCCGATTTGAGTAACATCCCTCGGCCCTGGCTCTGTTCGTGATTTGAGTCTACCGGGGATCCCTGGGACCCGTTTTAGCGGGGAATCTCTGTCCCCGTTTGGGTCGGGTGAACCGGATTCCCCATCGGGTCAGGGAAAATCACCATCCATGATTCAGAGAATATTATTATGTAAGTATATCATAAGATTAGAGCAAATTACACCTTTCGTCCTTGTGGTTTGTTAAAAATTACGATTTTTATATCTATAATTTATAGATTAAGATTTTAGTTTATAAGATTTGCAATTCATTGCTATTTTTGTCCCTGAGTCTAACTCCTACCTTTTAAGTACAGGGGAGAAAAAAACAAATATTGTGAATCATAGGGACCAAAACCACAATAAAATGTAAATTAGAAAGACGAACATAGCAATGAATATCAAATTCCTTTGAATGAAAATTTCAATTTCCAAACTACAGGGACGAAAATCATAACTTTTTATAAATCACAGGGACTACTTTAAAATTTATTTCATACCGATGAAAAGTGATATTTATGAACTTATTTAAGCTATGAGATAACTCAATAATTTTTCTTCTACTTCAGTTAATATGTAATAAAGTTATTGACTGTTTGATTAGTTTTCCATTCACGACTTGTTTGTTAGTAGTTTAATGACGTTTACGAGACTCATAGCTTATTAAGTAAGTTATATATGACTTTTGATAGTGGCTTAATGATATAAAAATGACTTATTCAGTAAGCTTCTAAGGGAGTTTTATGTAAAAAGGCACTTTTTTTCCAAACAAGTCTCTTGCAATTAAAAATAACGTTTATTGCATCTATTAAAAAACCCTCTCAAATAAATATCTTTCAATCTATACAGACAAATTAATCAACACAAACAACTTTTTTCATACAAGACTTATTCAAAAACCAACCAAACAGTGCATAAAGCTATCGATGTGGATTAATTTGTGACTGTCTGTAAAGATATTGTTTGCAAGAGTTTTTGAGAGATGAGAGAAACGTTTTTTTAATTGGGAGGGACATACTTGGAAAAAAAAAACTTGGGTTCATGCATAAAGCTCCTTTAGAAACTTAGAGGCCGTTTATCAACGCTTATCCTGATTAGTGCTTACTGGCAAAATTCAATACTGTCAATTACTTATCGGGTAAGATTTTAGTCCACCAAAACGGTATCGTATGTAACAATTAACCTGGTAAGTGATAACCGTGGTAAAAGTCATTGTCTTCACGTACAAGGTAAGACTCTCAGTCATTGTCTTTACTTTTATTGGGTAAGATTCTTGATCTTTGCCATGTTGATTCGGGAAGGTAATATGACTTGGTAAGAGCTTATCCGGATAAGCTACCTTTTATATCATTAAACCAATATCAAAGAGTCGTACATAACTGATCAAATAAGCTATAAGTCTCATTAAATTCATTAAGCTACTAACAAATAGATGCTTAATCATAATATAGATTGATTATAGAATTACGAATGAAGTGTTGGTTGAGATGAGAATACCATATTTGTTTAAAAAATATGAGGATTAGTTAATTGATCAAGTGGGATATATATATATATATATATATATATATATATAGATGATAAATTAGTAACTGAATTTGTTTAAGATTCCATGTTGATCATAGTGGACGACAAAGAATAATATTCTTCTCATGTTTAAAATAGTTATTTAAACAAACCCTCTTATTAAGATTAGTGTGGTTTTAGTGGTTTCTTAATTCATAACTTTTGGTTTTAATTATTTATAGTAACAAATATATATATATATATATATATAGAGAGAGAGAGAGAGAGAGAGAGAGAGAGAGAGAGAGAAAGTTTGTTCTAAATGCAACCCATCGCATTTGTACAACCAATACA